TGACTACTGCATACCCTCCTTTCTGGGGTCAACAGTCGAAATGGGGTGAGTGCATTTTTTTTAATCATCAATATTTAGAAAATAAGTTGGTCACTGTTCTGATTTTTTATGCTCTGGTCTTGAACTCACTTTCACGACAACTCTCAATTGGTAACATCTTATTTCAGATTTTCAGGTATAATTAATATGCCCGAGGAAGTTTGAGAGCAAAGAGACTATAGCTTCCGGTTTAAATGTGGTGTATGCGTACATGCAGGCATGTGTATTTGGGGGTAATTTGCATTTCACCTTGTTTTTATGCCACAGAAAACTTTTCCAATAGTTGTGAAATTATCCTCTTTTTTCCTTCCGATTTGAAAAGTAGTTTATTCAATTATATAATCATTTATTACTTAAGACGTTCATAACTGATTGTATTTCCAACAAGTGTTTATGAGGCATATACCACATGCAGGCACTGTGTTAGACTACTTGGAGACAAGCAAATCCTAAGGAATGAGATAAGTTTTCTCTAAGATTTTAATTCAACTATGTTTAGTAGACAAGTCAGTCTCTGTTCTGTGGTTTTAACATAACAATCTGTCCCTATGTACTTAGCTTTAAATAAATGGGCTGAGGCCTGAAGTAACTCATGCACACTTCTCGAATAATTTTATTAAATCTGATAATGTATTTGATTTTGGAGAAATGTGTGAATGTGGGGGAAGTTTAAGTATTTTTGCTCAAGGCAGCTGCCACAGTTTCCAAGTAACTTAAAGAGAAGACTGTGGACAAATTTAGAAAAATAAGGAGAACCCCCTTAAAAAAGAGGAAAACTTTTGCAGGATTTTTCTTACAACTTGTGACAAAACTGTGGTTTGCTGTTGAGACCAGCTCTCGGCAGATTTGTGAGGCAAGTTCACGTCCTGTAGTTGCTACCTGGGACCTTCTTTCCTCTCTCCCACGGTGTTCAGCCCTCCTGTTTCCCAACCACGAGGATATCCAGCTTCAGCCCTATTCCCACAAGGCTTCACTCTTGGCTGAATGTCTCTTAATCCTAACAGGTCTTCAAGACCCAAAGGAAAAGATGACCAAGTAGAATTTCAGGAGTGGGGTCAAATGATGAGATGATTTAGGAGCCAGGAGATTTGCCTGTTGTCTTCAAAGCATACCTGATAGAAGGTTGCACACCCCAGGCTAGGCTTGCCTTGGCTTCCAGATGGCCCGACAAGCCTGGATTCTCCTGTGCGCATCCCAACCCCAGCTGGTTGCTCAGTCTCCACAAAGAGCAATTCACTGTTGTTCACCCTTCTCGGCAGTTTGTGGTGGCAGTTTCACGGGTTTTGAAATCCTTCTCAATTTTAAAAATTAATAGATGCTTTTCTGTGGATTTGTTCTTGGATAACTCAACAGGCTTTAACCTTTCTCTCCCTTCCCATCACTGATTAATGCACAGAACTGAAGGTCTAATTTGTAAGAGAAAAGAGACTAGCACATTTGATAGGGCTGGAGAATCATTGTGGTATCACTGTTGGGACTGTAAGTGCCCTTGTGCTCCATATCTATCATCCAGTTAGTTGTTTTTGCAGGATGGTTACAATGACAGTTTTTGTTTGGTCTCAAGATTTTCATTTTGGTCTACATATTCATCCCAAGCATCATAATATTACATTCTTCTGTGTCCGTGTTCTTTAGAAATTATTAAAATATCCATTTCTATTTCTAAATATAGAGACACAGAATTAGGGATTTATAAGACCTCGAAGAAAATATCTACCCCAAACAATTACTGAGAATATTAAATGAGATTGGAAACATCAAAACACTCTAGATGTAACCATAGAGCATTGTTAATATTGACTCATGTAAGTACCCTGTTTGTGGATGTCAAAATGATTAAAGATTAAAGAAAGATTAAACAAATCTAAGCCATTTTTCATATTAAGCTAGCACTGGAAATTTGGAACAGAGAAAAAATTCTTGAGAGAAAACTGGGAGATGTGATATTTAAGAATGCAGCAAAAAGTTTTTAGTTATCAGAGAGAATTGAATTCCTCTAATTAAGACAGCCTATTTACTAGCATGATGGGAACGGCCACAGGCAAAGGCCAGAGTCTATTAGGGGAGGTTTCTGGGAGGCATTTAATTGGACTCTGGAACCAAATGATCAAAGAAACAATTAGGCAAAAGTTCACTTGATCTTGATTTTCTGCATGAATGAGGACCATTCAAAGGGAACCTCACAGTCCAGGAAAAGTCGCTACAGGAATGCAGGCTTTTGGAGTATTCACAGAAATGCCCACGGTTGATTCTTTCCAGGACTGTGCTGTTACACAAGTTGTTTCTGCTCACCTGTGTTGGAAAACCAACTCCAGCTAACTTAAGCAAAAAGGGGTTTCTTGGGTCACATCTGGAGACTAGCCTAGCTTTGGGTGTGGCTAATTTCAGAGGCTCAAAATATGTCACCGGGACTCACTATTGCCCTCTCTATCTCTTCAGTTCAGCTTTTCTCTCCACTGGCTCAGGTTTCAGACAGGCAAAACAGCAAGATGGCAGCCAGCAGCTTTACAACCTATCCTCTCAGCAAATCCCGTGGAAAGAACATGACTCTTAAAACTAAAGTACTGAATTAACTGGCTGGGCTTGGCGAACGTGCCCATTCTTGAACAGGGAAGCACAATATTTTGATTAGCTGAGGCCTGTTCACATGTCCATCTTTGGACCAAGGGGCATGTGTCAGCCCCAAGCAACCATAGGGAGGAGGTGATGTCTTAAGAAAATTAGAATGGTACTACCAGGAACAGGTGAATGGTTTGCTAGGCTGAAAGCAATGATTGTCCTCTAAACTCATAAAAGATCACTCCCTAAGAATTTCACTGTTCACTCACCAAATACAAAGTTAATATCAAGTGAGCCATCTGACGAAGGCTCAGGGGAAAAGGGAAGGTAAAAGTAAGGATTACTGTAGCACAGGTGATTTTGTTGATGATGACTGAGTCAATGAGCCCTGTGCATTAGGATAAAGACCGGGTGTCGAAGTAGTATGGATTCAAGTGGTTCAGAAAAGTGTTTGCTGCTTGATGAGCATATAAAATCCTTTCCTGGTTGAGTAAGTTTTTAATTTTCTTATTCTATTTATGATGTACGTTCCTAGCATATTTAATTCAGAAATCAAATTTCCCTTACCTTTTCACATCAATGTTTCAAGCTTATGATCACAATTCCCATGACCCAGAAATTCTAAAATCAAGGCAATGCCCTTCAATAACTGAACAAAAGTACTATCCAAGAGAAACCTGAGAAATTAGTCTGCCTCCTATTTTCTTTTACATTCAGGGGACTACTCATTTCCACATAAAAAGGAAACTCCTGGGGCGCCTGGGTGGCGCAGTCGGTCAAGCGTCCGACTTC